CAGTGCTCTTTCTCCTCGCGGTGATTCTGGCTATCGCCCTGCGCCTGCGACGCTCTTCCAGGGCAGAGGATTGGGGCTGCTTTCAGCCTGGTCTCAGCTCCAAGCCTGGACCAGGGGTTCTCCCCAATTACAGTGAGGGAACATTGCCCTATTCCTACAATCTGTGTGTTGCCTCACAAACAGCCAAGACAGAGTTTAATTTTCTCAACGTGACCCCGGAAGTGGCTTCTGCACAAGATCTCCTCTGTGACAATGCCTCTTGGGAACCAAAAGCAAATCGTGGAGACGCTGGGGTCCCCTTTCCCTCAGAAACTAGTTTAAAGGTGAGCTCTAATTCATTTATTTTCACTTCTGGTTTTATTGCTTCTTAGCAAATCACCTAACTTGGGTAGGAAGTTCCATTGCGTATTTATGAGTTAGATTTGGTCAATGTTGTGCCTTAATTATCTTAATCTTATCTAACTGAATTTTAAGAGTTTTCTGTCTGAAGTGCGAGATTTATTTACCCATAATTGCAAACCTTTACTGCGTGAGATTCTGCACTGTATTTCATTTTTTTCCTCATCTTTACACTACTTCTCTCTGAAATTTCGTTACTATTGGGATTTTAAGCAATTTCTTTCACTTTCAGGCTCTTTGTTATTCAAATTTTAGTTTTACTTCCTCTTAGAGCCGTAGTACTTCAGAGTAAAGAGAGTCCTCATTTTACTAGTTCTTGGAAATTGGGAACCAAAGAAGAAAGACTTTTGTATAATGGCATGGCTTGTTAACCACAGGGCATGGGTAGGACATTGTCCCATTGACTTGAAGACCAAGATTCGATAAGCTAAATGTCTTGGAATCACAAATCTATTTTTAAATGATAAGCAATGTTTGAGGCCTGAGGTGTCTGCTACAAAGAGTGCATTTAACAAATGTGAGAAATCATTCTCTAACATGCGTATTAACAAATTGCTCTTGAGAAAAATTGCACATTGAGAAAAATCTTACAACCTATGCTCACATCATTTTCTACCAAATATTACTTAAAACTTTGCTTTTGAATTTCCTAATTATATAGAATATTTTATTTTCTTAGTTTTCTATGAAAGTATCATTAAATTAAATGACTCTGAAACGTCTATTTTTTTAAATCATGAGGTTTTTCTATTTCTGTGGCTGTATAAAGATTATAGCATTAAATATCTGTCTCAACATAGAAAGGCCACTTAGTGCTGCTCGATGATAAGTATCTGGTCATGCTTTCCTGCACGGATGATGAAATAAAGCCCCATTCTCCACAGTTGCTATAATGATTGTCACTGGAACTACAAATATTTGAACGTGGTAATAGAAAAACATAAAAATGCATAGTTAACCCAATTCAAACACTGTCTGAGATGGTGCAGAAACTTTCTGAAAGTCCTCACAAGTAACAAAGATCTTTTTTTTCCTGCATATGACAGCTAATATAACTTACATAAATCAGTAGGCCTTTTTGGAAAGGTGCATTAAGAACTGGATTTGTTTCCTTGGCAGTCTTAAGCATGTTTATAAAGGTATCCTAATAAATTGATGAAATCTTGAATCCTGCAAAGCTAAGAATTTGAACATCCTAATTTAATGGACTAAATATAGGTAAGAGGTAAATAAAGGACATAGGCTCAATGGTGAATTAAATAAAACTTTTGTAAGGTTTTGGAATCTAATAATCATATTGATCTCAGGGATTGTGGAATTCTTGCTGTTTCAGAATTAAAGCGTAACTGTCATAAACAATGCTACATAGTTAATCATGAAGGATATAGCAACATTGTCAGAAATAAAAATATAACTAAGGAGAAATAAAAATGGAATTTGGTGTAGTAACTTGTTAGGACTCTGAGCGTCGCTGTTGACCAAAGTGGGAAAGAAGCTGCAGCGGTGACCCGACTCCGCTCCCTCCATACTAAACACTCACAGACCAGACAAGCTCCTACGAAAAGCCAACCCACCACTCCAATTTTCGTCAGGGAATATGTACCCATCGGCTTTAGATAAATAAGGAAGCAGCGGGCTGAAACAGGACTAGGAGAAAATTGGGCCGAGAGAAGACAATGAGGAGTCCACCAAGGCGCTGGCGCTGCGGAGAGCTGGGGCTGCTTTTCACGCTCCTGGGGACGTTGTGCGAGCCAGGATCCGGGCAGATCCGCTACTCGGTGCCAGAGGAGCTGGACAAAGGCTCCTTCGTCGGCAACATCGCCAAGGACCTTGGGCTGGAACCCCAGGAACTGGAAGACCGCTGGGTCCGCATCGTCTCCAGAGGTAGGACGCAGCTTTTCGCCCTGAATCCGCGCAGTGGCAGCTTGGTCACCGCAAGCAGGGTAGACCGGGAGGAGCTCTGCGCTCAGAGCCCGCTGTGCGTGGTGAACTTTAACATCTTGGTTGAGAACAAAATGAAAATTTATGGAGTAGAAGTCGAAATAATCGATATTAATGATAACTTCCCCCGTTTCCGGGATGAAGAGTTACAAGTAAAAGTTAATGAAAATGCGGCTGCAGGAACCAGTTTAGTGCTTCCCTTCGCGCGCGATGCGGATGTGGGTGTGAACTCCCTCCGGAGTTACCAGCTCAGCTCCAATCCGCATTTCTCTCTGGATGTGGTAAGCGGAACTGATGGACAAAAGTATCCGGAGCTGGTGTTGGAACAGCCCCTAGACCGCGAGAAAGAGACTGTTCACGACCTCCTACTCACAGCTTTAGATGGCGGAGACCCGGTACTCTCCGGCACCGCGCACATCCGTGTTATGGTCCTCGACGCAAACGACAATGCTCCCCTGTTCACTCGATCCGAGTACAGAGTGAGTGTTCCAGAGAACATACCTGTGGGCACTCGGCTGCTCACGGTAACCGCCACGGATCCAGATGAGGGAATAAACGGGAAACTGACCTACTGTTTTCGCAATGAAGAAGACAAAATTTCAGAGACATTCCAACTTGATTCCAACCTGGGGGAAATCTCAACTATACAATCACTGGACTATGAAGAATCCAGATTCTACTTCATGGAAGTGGTAGCTCAGGATGGAGGCGCTCTTCTGACCAGCGCTAAGGTGCTGGTCACAGTACAGGACGTGAATGACAATGCCCCCGAAGTGATCCTCACCTCTCTCACCAGTTCCCTCTCTGAAGACTGTCTTCCCGGAACTGTAATCGCGCTGTTTAGCGTACATGATGATGATTCTGGAGAAAATGGTGAGGTTGCATGTTCTATTCCTAGAAACCTGCCTTTTAAATTGGAAAAGTCAGTTGACAATTACTATCACCTATTAACAACTAGACACCTGGACAGAGAAGAGACTTCAGACTACAATATTACTTTAACCGTCATTGACCATGGAACCCCACCCCTCTCTACAGTAAACAACATCCCCTTGAAAGTGGCAGATGTCAATGACAATCCACCCAACTTCCTTCAAGCCTCCTACTCCACCTCCCTCACAGAAAACAACCCTAGAGGTGTCTCTATCTTCTCTGTGATGGCCCATGACCCCGACAGCGGTGACAACGCTCGAATCACCTACTCCCTGGCTGAAGATACATTTCAGGGGGTGCCCTTGTCCTCCTATGTCTCCATTAACTCTGACACTGGTGTCCTGTATGCACTGCAATCCTTTGACTATGAGCAGTTGAGAGAGCTACAGCTGTGGGTGACAGCCAGCGACAATGGGAGCCCTCCACTTAGCAGCAACGTGTCGCTGAGCCTGTTCGTGCTGGACCAGAACGACAACACGCCTGAGATCCTGTACCCCACCCTCCCCACAGACGGTTCCACCGGCGTGGAGCTGGCACCCCGCTCTGCAGAACCTGGCTACCTGGTAACCAAGGTGGTGGCGGTGGACAAAGATTCAGGCCAGAACGCCTGGCTGTCCTACCGCCTGCTTAAGGCCAGTGAGCCTGGACTTTTCACTGTTGGGCTGCACACAGGTGAGGTGCGCACAGCGCGGGCCCTGCTGGATAGAGACTCGCTCAAGCAGAGCCTCGTGATGGCCGTCGAAGACCATGGCCAGCCCCCTCTTTCAGCCACTGTCATGCTTACCATGGCTGTGGCTGACAGAATCCCTGACATCCTGGGTGACCTAGGCAGCATTAAGACCCCCACTGACCCTGAGGATTTGGACCTCACGTTCTATCTTGTGGTGGCAGTGGCTACAGTCTCCTGTGTCTTCCTAGCCTTTGTCATTGTGCTGCTGGTGCTCAGGCTGAGGCGCTGGCAGAAGTCACGAATGCTTCAGGCTGAAGGCAGCAGGTTGGCGGGTGTGCCCGCCTCACACTTTGCGGGCATGGATGGGGTTCAGGCTTTCCTGCAGACCTATTCCCACGAGGTCTCCCTCACCGCGGACTCCAGGAAGAGTCACCTGATCTTCCCCCAGCCCAACTATGCAGACACACTCCTTAGTGAAGAGAGTTGTGAGAAAAGCGAGCCTCTTCTGGTATCGGATAAGGTAGATGCAAACAAAGAAGAACGACGAGTTCAGGTTAGTTTTCTCTTTCGATGAGGATGACTGGAACATTTTCATTTGCTTCCTCTTTCATTTTTCTGTCGTATTCAAAATCATGAATAGTGATTTTGAATAATAGCTACATAATTATTATGTAATTATGTAGCTATATTAATAATAGCTACATAAATAGTGGAACATTATTTGCTGTATTGGAGATTAATTTTATTTTATTTGATAATTTATGCTTTCTCCATTTGTTTTTAAATTCTGTTTTGGGAAATCTAGTTGATATCTGCAGACTTAAGTGAAACAAATACCTTCAAAGAAAGTGCTACAATATAATCATTTTACCCAAAGATCTTGTTATATTGGAACTGCAGTTCTATTAAGAGAAGAGAAGTTTCATTAGCTCAGATTGTTAGGTGTATTTGTTCTCTTTTGAATATCTGCCTAGACACCATTAGTGAAAGTGTTTTGAAAGGATAATGTGTAGGACTGATATTTTAGGCTACCTGAAATTTGTTTAAGGAACTAATTTACAGTATTTACATAAATCAGTGGAAAGGTACAGAGAAATTCTGCATCATACATATCAGAAAAGTAGATTGAATTTATAGTGATGATAGCATGTAGCATTCTAAAATCTGGAGAGTTTGTGTCAAGCCATGTAATTATTGGATATGTGGGCTTGTTGAGAGGAGAAGTCAGTGTAAAGGAACCTTAAAATTAGGCTTCATTCTGTAATGTAAACTCTCCAAAGACTTGCATACTGCTGCATTCAATAAATATAAATATGTCACACACATGGCTCTTCTAGTATAGATAATCTGTTCACTTATTAGAATCAATACCTACTGAATGTGTTAGTGTTTCTTTAAGTGTAGGTACAATTATCCTTTATTACTTGAGTCTAAGGTTGTATTTGAAAAAAACAATTCAACTTAAGGATGGTTCAAATTTTTAAATTTTATTTCTAAGTAATGTGCTCATCTTAAATTAATAGATTTGCCTTAATGAAATACTAGTCTATGTGCCTCAAATTCCAGGAGGATGTCTTGTGTAATGAAAGAACTACTAGATTTCCCTTCTGCATCTGATTTGCTGAAGATGATTTTCAGATGCTTCTTATTAAAATATTCTTAATCCTTCAAATTTTGTACTTTTAACACCTTGAACATCAGCTTCACATAATGACTAAATAAGGGGAAAAGGTAATAAAATATTACAAATGGGATAGTAAGCTACCACATGAAAGGTTAATTGACACATTAAAGAACCTAAGACCACTTGATTTTTATTTATTTTTATTTTTATTTGGTCAGAATGTCCATATATATATATATGCACCTATATACACACATACACACACATGGACATTCTGACCAAAATGTAAAATGTACAGACTCACTGAATAGTGAATGCATCCAAAGAGTAACAAGAGAATCTATATAATAGGTGCTGACATCATTCACTCCTATGTGAAAACTTGCTTTTCCATTTTTCTTTTTTTAAGAAAATGTTATATGCTTCTCAGAGTATGGCATTTGGGAAAAATTAAAGGTTATAGATTTGGGTACGTTTCCTCTGAGTTAACTTTTCTGTGTGCAATGGAAAAATATCTTTAAACTCTCTATAAACTACTAATAGACTTTATAAAATGCTTGATCCATACATTCTGAATGTATGCACTATATATACTATATAGTTTTAAGTATCTGAATCTTTAGTTGTATATGTGTTCTGAAGGATAATTTTCCATACTAATTGAAGTGTTCATACAATAAACACTTGGCAGTATGTTGGAAGGCAGTAGCCTTGGCATGTTTTGGAGCAAATTCTTGAGTCAGTTATGTTTTTAATGTTTGTATAAAGGTGTCAGTGAGTGGCTGTCTAGAATTCTGGATACCATGAGTAGTTTAAGATGCTATGATGCTTTTCCACTATAAGGTGAGTTCGATGTGGAACTCTTTGCTTATTGCTGCACACCTGCCTAGTTTTAGAATAACAATACATTATGTAGGGTTAACATCATTTAGGAAGATTTTCTGATTTGGAAATGGAATTAAAACTGTCTGACACCTGTCAGAAACATGCAAAATGGCATGTTATTGACCAGGGAAAAGTGTAAGTAACAAAAGGGTGGGATGATCAGATGGTAACCTGAGAACCAAGGAAAAGTGAACAGAAGGATTACTTATATAATCAAATAATATAATTATAAAGACTCATAATTCATGCCCCAATCTTAATAACTCATCATTGTTAGGCTACTTGAAAAGACATAGTACAATTCAGGACCATTGTGATGTAGTATGTAAAAACATCCTCTGTAAAAGTTTTTCATCTGGGCCAGGGAGCTCATGCCTGTAACCCCAGCACTTTTGGAGGCTGAAGTGGGAGGATTGCTTAAGACCAGGTGTTCTATACCAGCCTGGACAACATAGTGAGACCCCATCTCTATAGAAAAAAAAGTTTTCAATCATACTTATTTAATTAAAAGTAGACACTTGGAAACAGAGGAAAAGAGACCATCTTGCTTCTTACTATACTTTTATTTTATAAGGGCAATCATTTCCTTATTACGTACAACTTCTTTTGAGGGAATATGATAAAGATAAAAGAGAAGAAAGTAAAACATAGAATAAAACTAAAAGCTATGAGATTATAATTTTTAAAAGTTAGGAGAAAAGTAAATAGAATGCAATAACAATACACATGAAGCTGATATTTCAAGCATCTTTATACTACACCATCACCAAAAACAGCTTTTATTTGTATGATTTTCTATGTATTATTTGGTCCTCATTTCTACTAGAGTAAGCAGAGAAGATGTTATTATGACCATTTCATGAAAATGGAAACTAAAAGCATGACAAGATTGAGCAAGATTGTCTTTGCCCTTTGACAAGTAAAAGGCACTTGATTTGGATGGATATAGCGCAAATTAAAAGAAATAACAGACTAAAGATGTAGTAAATATTTTAATGTTTTTCAAAAGTCCTTTTAAAATGGGAAGAATGAGTGTCAGCATCAGTACGTTGCAGATATTTTTCCTGACTGGCCCATTTGGAGCTGATTTAGGCACCACTACTGCAGTTTTGCAGCGAAGGCGCAGGGTGCCGCTGCCGGTTAGTGCTGTGCAAAGCATTGGCTCCTCCCGCCGCAGCCGACTCGGAAGAAAAGTGCACTCTGTATCCGGCTTCCTGAAGCGGAGACATCATTAGAGAACCCACGCAACGAGACAAAGCAAGTAGTTGGTCCTGCTCAGACAACTCTTGGGATTATTTAAATATCTCCTCTCCTTGGATTTAGAAAGGCAAAGGCGCAGAGAGTGGGATGGGAAACAGCTCCGGATGGAGGGGCCCAACAGGGCGCAGGCGAATGCCGTTTCTCTTCCTGCTGTCTTTGTTAGGCCAAGCGCTGTCCGAACCGATCCACTACGCTATTCCGGAGGAGCTAGACAGCGGCTCGCTGGTAGGAAACCTCGCGAAGGACCTGGGGCTTGGCGTGGGGGATTTGCCTACTCGGAACCTGCGGGTTAGTGCAGAGAAGAAATTCTTTACCGTGAATACCGAAAGTGGGGACTTACTTGTGAGCGACCGTATAGACCGAGAGCAGATTTGTGGCAAGAAGTCGGTGTGTGTTCTGGAATTCGAGACGGTTGCTGAAAAGCCTTTCAACTTTTTTCATGTAACTGTGCTGATCCAGGATATTAACGACAACCCACCGAGCTTTAGCCAAAATATCACTGAGCTGGAAATCAGCGAACTGGCGCTCACTGGAGCCACCTTTGCCCTGGAATCTGCGCAAGATCCTGATGTAGGTGTCAATTCGCTGCAGCAGTACTACCTCAGCCCTAATCCACACTTCTCTTTGACTCAGAAGGAGAACCTGGATGGCAGTAGGTACCCAGAGCTGGTACTGAAAGCACCCCTGGACAGGGAAAAGCAGCCACATCACCACCTGGTCCTCACAGCTGTGGATGGGGGCGAGCCCTCTAGAAGCTGTACCACCCAGATAAGAGTAATTGTCGCAGATGCAAACGACAACCCCCCAGTATTTACTCAGGACATGTACAGGGTCAGTGTTGCAGAGAACCTGCCTGCTGGTTCCTCGGTATTAAGAGTGCTGGCCACTGACCTGGATGAGGGCTTCAATGCTGCGATCACCTATACCTTCATCAATATTGGTAAAGCAGTGAGACAACTGTTCAAGCTGGATAGTAAAACGGGGGAACTCACCACTATTGGAGAACTGGACTTTGAAGAGAGAGATAGCTTCACAATTGGGGTGGAAGCAAAGGATGGTGGACATCACACTGCATATTGTAAAATACAAATAGATATTTTGGATGAAAATGATAATGCCCCGGAGATAACCGTGGCTTCTGAATCCCAACATATACGAGAAGATGCTGAGCTGGGGACTGCTTTTGCCCTGATCAAAACACATGATCTAGATTCTGGATTTAATGGAGAAATCCTATGCCAACTAAAAGGAAATTTCCCCTTTAAGATCGTTCAGGATACCAAAAACACATACAGGTTGGTGACAGATGGAGCCCTGGACCGGGAGCAGATCCCAGAATACAATGTGACCATCACAGCTACTGACAAAGGCAATCCACCGCTTTCCTCCAGCAAGACCATCACTCTGTACATACTTGACGTCAACGACAATGTTCCAGTTTTCCACCAGGCCTCCTACATGGTGCGTGTAGCTGAGAACAACCTGCCAGGAGCCTCCATTGCTCAAGTCAGCGCCTCGGATCCCGACTTGGGTCCTAATGGCCTTGTCTCCTACTCGATCGTGGCCAGTGACCTGGAGCCGCGTGAGCTGTCATCCTACGTGTCCGTGAGCGCTCAGAGCGGGGTGGTGTTCGCGCAGCGCGCCTTCGACCACGAGCAGCTGAGCGCCTTCAAGCTCACGCTGCAGGCCCGCGACCAGGGCTCACCGCCTCTCAGCGCCAATGTGAGCCTTCTCGTGTTGGTGGGTGACCTCAACGACAATAGGCCGCGGGTGCTGTACCCAGCTCTGGGGCCCGACGGCTCTGCGCTCTTCGATATGGTGCCGCGCGCTGCAGAGCCTGGCTACCTGGTGACCAAGGTAGTGGCAGTGGACGCCGACTCAGGACACAATGCCTGGCTGTCCTACCACGTGCTGCAGGCCAGCGAGCCCGGGCTCTTCAGCCTGGGGCTGCGCACGGGTGAGGTGCGCACAGCCCGTGCCTTGGGTGACAGGGAGGCGGCCCGCCAGCGCCTGCTGGTCGCTGTGCGTGATGGAGGACAGCCACCTCTTTCAGCCACCGTCATGCTGCACCTAATCTTCGCGGATAGCTTGCAAGAGATACAACCTGACCTTAGCGACCGCCCCACACCCTCTGACCCTCAGGCGGAGCTACAGTTTTATCTAGTAGTGGCGTTGGCCTTGATCTCTGTGCTCTTCCTCCTCGCAGTGATTCTGGCAATTGCCTTGCGCCTGCGAAGCTCCTCGAGACCCGCCACTGAGGGCTACTTTCAGCCTGGTCTCTGCTCTAAGACTGTACATGGAGTTCTCCCCAACTACAGTGAAAGGACTTTGCTTTATTCCTACAGTCTGCGTGCTGCCTCACATTCCTCAAACACCGAGTTTAAATTTCTCAATATAAAAGCTGAAGATGCTGCACCACAAGATCTTCTATGCGATGAAGCATCTTGGTTTGAAAGTGCTAGTAATGACAATCCAAAAATGCCTTCTAGTTCAGGCAATTTGCAACAGGTGAGTTTCTTCAAACCTTTCCATCCATAAATATGTGGGTTTCAATTCATGGATTTAGAGATGAAAAGTTTAATCAGAGTAAGTATTCTCTGATTCCATTATTTTATTGATTTTCTGGGTGTAGAATAGGGGTGCCTGGGAATTTCTTTGTAGGTTTATCTGTGTTGCGGTTGTTCTTTCGTAGATACCCTCCTTTTGATAGTCTTGAAACTTTTGTTAATCCTAATATGCTATAATCAGAAACATTCTTTTTTTTTTTTTTTTTAAGATGGATTTTCACCGTGATGGCCAGGCTGGTCTTGAACTCCTGACCTCAGGTGATCCACCCACCTTGATCTCCCAAAGTGCTAGGATTACAGGTGTGAGCCACTGCACCCGGCCCAGAAACATTCTTAACACAAATGATAACTCACGCTGTCATTTTCAGACATATCTATCCAGAATTAGACACAAATATGCACAATTAAGCAATTTGCTTAGTTTTGATGCAGTCAATCCTAAAATATATCAAACATAATATATATCTTAAGACATTTTTATGTAATTTGTATATAATATTTTTACTTCCCTTTGCACATTTTTAAATGTATACATGGATGTTGCCTATGTCAGGGCAGTTCTTAATTTCTATGGTAATCAAAAGAAATAATGGCATCTAAAATGGCAACTCTTGTCATGGGCACTGTAGTGAATTGGTTCAAAATGTGTTTGTGTAGCTTATGCCTGTAGTCCCAGCTATTTGGGAGGCTGAGGTGGGAGGATCCCTTGAGCCCAGGAGGTTGTGGCCCTGATGAGATATAATTGTGGCCCTGCACTCTAGCCTGGGAGACAGAGGGAGACTTTGTCTCTAAAACATGTATTTGTGGTTGTTGTACCTTTGTTGAAAGTGGGACTAACGTAAATGATGGTGGACTGTGATCATTCAAGATTTACAGAAGATTGTAATATTATTTCTGTTCCCCGAGGTCCTAAAAGATATTTTCACAAAAATGAATGGTAAACTTCAGAGAACGCTAAAAATTATTTGAAATAATCTCTGGCATTCTTTTAAATGCTTCATCATCTTGGGGAAGGAAATATTATGAGTGTCACCTTTGCAGATTTAGCAGAAATAAAATTCTCTATATGATAGTTTCACAAAACGATGCAGTATTAATTTAGGACTCTAAGCGTCGCTGTTCACTAACCCGGGCAAGAAAAATCAACGAAACTCGGGTTATATTCTCCAGTCACAAAGCAAATCAGACAGGAAGCAGGAAAGCTGTGCACAAACTCTGACCGGAAACACTTCGCATCTGATCTCTGCTTGCTGAAGGACCTTGACCTCTATTTCTGAGAAGCGCAAAAGTGGTGCGGATCTGTTCTTCCCTTTAATCCCAAGGAAGTCTCTAACAAGCCAGTAATGGCGGCTCTGCAGAGGCGCCCGCGGCGCAGCGAGCAGCTCTCGCTCCTCACGCTCCTGGGGACGCTGTGGGGGGCTGCGGCAGCGCAGATCCAATACTCTATTCCTGAGGAGCTGGAGAAAGGTTCCTTCGTGGGCAACATTGCCAAGGACCTGGGGCTGGAGCCCCGGGAGCTGGCGGAGCGCGGAGTTCGCATCGTCTCCAGAGGCAGGACGCAGCTTTTCTCTCTGAACCCGCGCAGCGGCAGCTTGGTCACCGCGGGGAGGATAGACCGGGAGGAGCTCTGCGCTCAGAGCCCGCAGTGTCTGGTGAGTTTTAACATTCTTGTCGAGGATAAACTGAATCTTTATCCTGTGGAAGTAGAAATAGTGGACATTAATGACAATACACCCCGATTCTTAACGGAAGAACTGGAAGTGAAAATTCTCGAAAACGCAGCTCCATCCTCTCGTTTTCCACTAATAGAGGTCTATGACCCTGATGTGGGAAAGAACTCCCTTCAGGGCTTTAAGCTCAGCAGCAATAGTCACTTCTCAGTGGACATGCAAAGCGAAGCCCATGGGCCCAAGTACCCGGAGCTGGTGCTCGAGGGCACCCTGGACCGGGAAGGAGAAGCCGTTTACCACCTGGTCCTTACTGCCATGGATGGCGGTGACCCTGTCCGCTCAAGCGTCGCCCGAATTCTGGTAACAGTTCTAGATGCAAATGACAACGCTCCAGTGTTTACTCAGCCCGTCTACCGTGTAAGTGTTCCTGAAAACTTGCCAGTAGGCACACCAGTGTTAGCAGTAAATGCCACCGACCGGGATGAAGGAGTCCACGGGGAAGTAACTTATTCCTTTGTGAAGATTACAGAAAAGATCTCACAAATTTTTAGTTTGAATGCTTTGACTGGAGAGATTTCAACTTCTGCAAATCTAGACTATGAGGACTTGAGCTTTTATGAGCTGGATGTTGAAGCCCGAGATCGGCCAGGTCTTCGAGACAGAGCGAAAGTCTTAATAACTATCTTGGATGTCAATGATAATGTACCAGAAGTGGTTGTTACATCTGGAAGCAGAACAATTGCTGAAAGTGCGCCTCCAGGAACAATAATCGCTCTTTTTCAAGTGTTCGATCGAGACTCTGGACTGAATGGTCTGGTAACCTGTTCCATCCCGAGAAGTCTCCCATTTGAATTGGAAAAATCAGTTGACAATTATTATCGATTAGTGACAAATGCAGCTCTAGACCGGGAAGAGGTGTCCTTGTACAACGTCACTGTGACAGCCACAGACAAAGGAACACCATCTCTGTCTACAGAAACAATCATCTCCCTAAATGTGGCAGACACCAACGACAACCCACCCACCTTCCCCCACTCATCCTACTCAGTCTATGTCCTTGAAAACAACCCCAGGGGCGCCTCCATCTTCTCTGTGTATGCACTGGACCCTGACATGGACCAGAACGCCCGAGTCGCCTACTCACTGGCAGAAGACACCCTTCAGGGGGCGCCCCTGTCCTCCTACGTGTCCATCAACTCTGACACTGGCATTCTGTACGCCCTGCGCTCCTTCGATTATGAGCAGTTGAGAGACCTACAGCTGTGGGTGACAGCCAGCGACAGCGGGGACCCGCCCCTCAGCAGCAATGTATCCTTAAGCGTGTTCGTGCTGGACCAGAACGACAATGCGCCCGAGATCCTATACCCCGCCCTCCCCACAGATGGTTCCACTGGCGTGGAGCTGGCGCCCCGCTCCGCAGAGCCCGGCTACCTGGTGACCAAGGTGGTGGCGGTGGACAGAGACTCAGGCCAGAACGCCTGGCTGTCCTACCGCCTGCTCAAGGCCAGCGAGCCTGGACTCTTCACGGTGGGGCTGCACACGGGCGAGGTGCGCACGGCGCGGGCCCTGCTGGACAGAGACGCGCTCAAGCAGAGCCTCGTGGTGGTGGTCCAGGACCACGGCCAGCCCCCACTCTCGGCCACTGTCACACTCACCGTGGCTGTGGCCGACAGCATCCCCGAAATCCTGGCCGACCTGGGCAGCCTTGAACCCTCAGAGGGTTCTCACAACTCAGACCTCACGCTGTACCTGGTCGTGGCGGTGGCCGCGGTCTCCTGCGTCTTCCTGGCCTTCGTCATCGTGCTGCTGGCGCTCAGGCTGCGGCGCTGGCACAAGTCACGCCCGCTGCAGACTTCGGGAGATGGCTTGGCGAGCGTGCCGGGTTCTCACTTTGTGGGCGTGGACGGGGTGCGGGCTTTCCTGCAGACCTATTCCCACGAGGTCTCCCTCACCGCGGACTCGCGGAAGAGTCACTTGATCTTCCCTCAGCCCAACTATGCAGACACGCTCATCAACTCGGAGAGCTGTGAGAAAAGCGAGCCTCTTCTGATAACTCAGGATTTACTCGAAACGAAAGGAGACCCCAAGCAACTTCAGGTGAGTTTATTTCCGCAGAAGCGGAAGAGTCATTTGATCTTCCTGCAACCCAACTATACAAACAAGCTCATCAGCCAGAACGGCTGGAAGAGAAGTGAACTCTTTTGGTACAGGAAGATTCATGATTTTGTAAAGCGGAAGATTCCCTTGTTCAGGTGAGGGTATTGTTTTTATTGGTTGAGGAGGATTAAAAATTATCTTTGATTAGTGCTTAGTTTTCTTAGTCCTTTGCAGGGAATCATATAATTTTAATGTTTTTCTTTCATAAGGAAAGATTGTTCTTAAGTCTTAATTTTGTGGGGGGAAATAATGCATGTCCTAGTTTTTCTTTATCTCTCTCTTCTTGGCAAGCTCTGTCTCAGATCGAGTGCATCTCATTTCTTAGGTTTTTCCTACTATGTGACATTTGTAAGGTTCTTTCTTTTTCTGATGTGGGAAAATAACCTTAATTTAGGTCTGTATTACAGAAGATCAAGATCTTGGTTGTGGGTAGAGTGGTGGCTCACACCTGTAATCCCACCTCTTTAGGAGGCTGAGACGGGAGGATCCCTTGAGGCTAGGAGTCTGAGACCAGCTTGAGCGACATAGCAGGACTCTGTCTCTATCAAAAAAAAAAGAAATTAGCCAGATGTTGTGGTATGTGCCTGTAGTACCAGCTACTGGGGAATCTCTGATAGGAGGCTTATTTAGGGGTCCTTGTCCAAGGTTCTGAGTCTGCAGTGAGCTATAACTGTGCCACTGCACTCTAGCCTGGGAGACAGAATGAGACTCTCTCTCAAGGAAAAAAAAATATTTTGTTTTTTCTCAGTGTTACTTAATAATTATTAATGACAGAGGTTCATATGACAGATGTTTCACCTTTATTACCTAGAAATCAAAATTATTTTTAAAAAGATAGGAATCATTGAAAACTGCAGCAGGGAACACCTGATTTTTGGTGTTAGAACTATCTGTTATTTACTTGGGCCAGTTACAGTCACTATTATCTTCCAATTAAAATTAAGATTAAAAAGACTTACCAGAGATAGGATCTCCCTCTGTTGCCCAGACTGGAGTAAAATCCACTTGTAACTGCTGCTCATAGAGTGTGTATCCAGGGCAACTCGAATCTATGTTCCTGGGTTGCAATCCTCAAGTCTGGCGCAAATAAACTCTACTTATATTATCTTTTAAAACAAGACTTTCTTTATCTATCTAACTCAGATTCTAAGAAAATAATTTTATGAGACTTCTTTCAAACTATAAAGCAGTATAGTGAACAAATATTTGTTGACATCACCATTATTATAACAATTGGGTTGTTAACAAATAACTGTAAGTACCCGATGCTGTGTGCCTACTATAATGTCTTTTGCATACTGTGTGCCTCATAGTATTTAAGAGTAAAAATTAATTTTAAATCATGCTTGGTAGTGTCTGCTTACAGGGAATATCTCTAAAAATAGGTGACTGAATGGCAAATGGGAGAACAAATTTAATGGGGTTCAAATAAAAAGTTAAATATTTCAGCATTTTAACCCAGACAATAAGGCTTCCATCGTATAGAAACTCTTTATTGAAATATTTCAAGAAAAATGGGACTATCATTTAGAAGAATGATTAGTCTTATTTATTATGACTGAAACATGCAAACGAAATCATTGTTTCATGAACAGAAAACAGCAAAGCTTTTTACTATTAACGATGTTCGAAAAGAAAATGGATCACTAAGGAGGTAGGAGATTCTGTTATCAGCAGTCTTCAGAAGTTAAGTTCGTGGCCCTGGAATTCATGGAGCACAGAGGATTCTATAATTTGATGAGTTGTTGAACGACATTATAGTCAAGATTTTTTTCCAGTCATGAGTTGGAAGATTCTCCAATCTAGTGTTATTGTAGAATGGATTGGCCACTTGTGCATCTAAATTTATTATGCGTGTGTAAGAAAAAAGTAATTGAGAAAATATCTCGAAAATAAATGAGAACCTTCTTTGTAACCTGACTTTGTCAGTCTTCATAACAATAACATTGAGTTGATATTTCTTTAAATAAGGTGCTAAGAATAATACATGTTTTTCTAAACCAATATTGTGGCATTTACAGTTAAGGAATTATTATAGAATTGTTTATTTCAAGTTTCCAAATGTATATACCTAACCAAGAAATCAAATCATCCACATTTTCCAATCTAATTTGCTTGTACATTTGCTATATAATTTGATAAAATAACAATTTTAAACAACTTGAATCTTGAATATTAGTCTCATGAGTTAGGTGGCCTGTTACACATGTGATGATTTATTTCATAAATTCTGAGCGTATGAATGTTATTTTACTGTATCACCAATTGAGGATGTTAAACTACATCTTAAACATTCGTTATTATAGGCAAAGCTCACTAACTACTTTTTGTGGATCTCAGGCTGGTTTACTTTATTCTCTTATTACCTGTGACCATTTCATTTAAACAAATAAAACATTTCACTGAAGGAAAAACTACCAACTTCTACTTTCACAAAACTCATTCATCCATGTGGACTGACTATTAAACATCCTGGTAACCATGGAATTGGCTAAGTTCTGACTGAGTTTCTTTGATCCACGTGCAATACAGATCATTAAGAATAAGATAGGTTGTCTGAGATTTGAGAGTTCAGTATGGAATTTTGAAGCATCAGGGAAAAAAATCTACCAAATTATTGGATTATTTTATTGTCTGCGAAAGCCATTCTTTTTTTTTTTTTTTTTTTTTTTTTTTTTTTTAACAGAGTCTTGCTGTGTCTCCCAGGCTGGAGTGCAGTGGCACAATCTCTCCTCACTGCAACCTCCTCCTGGGTTCAAGCAGTTCTCTTGCCTCAGCCTCCCGAGTAGCTGGGATTACAGGTGTGTGCCACCATGCCCAGCTAATTTTCATATTTTAATAGAGATGGGTTTTCACAATGATGGCCAGGCTAGTTTTGAACTCCTGACCTGAAGTGATCCACCTACCTCTGCCTCCCACAGTATTGGGATTACAGGTATGAGCCACTGAGCCTGGCCTAAAAGCCATTCATTTCTCATCAAACTTCTGTTGAGGTGGCAATTGTCAAAGAGGACGGAGTAAAATTTCAGAGGAGAATCATTGGAAAATACCTATATCTTTGCTTGAGAATGAAAATCTAAATGGAAATTCAAAGAACTTTTTTGTTTTTAGTTTTTAAAAATGTCCCCCCCCCAAAAAAAGAGAGAAGATAATCAATTTGATACCTGGGAAGCCAAGCAGACTTTACATAGAATATTTTTTTCCTTTTCCTTTTTTTTTTTTTTATCAGGAGAAGCTGGTCTTTCAGGATCAGAGTTTTTTTTTTTTTTTTTAATGCAACCATACAAATGGTCAGGATTCTTCCCAATATCTTAGTCAATAATAATATACCCTCTTTAAATTATGAAATGATTTCAATTTGATGTGATGAGCTTATGTTGGATTTTATTAAACATATCTTGGTGGTTTAGTAAATATCTTTAATATTTAATTTTATGATGAGCGATAACTCAGAAAATGTGAATGTTGGAGAGAATGAAGACATTTACTTGCTAAGGTGTGTATCCTTTGTGTTCAGAGTAGCCTATAATTTAACTAGATGTTATTTCTTTCTCTCCAAAGAAGGTACCAAGACACAATAAGTTAATTAAGACTTTTTTAAAAAAATAGACAAGAAACAAATGTGAGATGAAACTGTGAATTTTGAGGCATCAGATAGAAATGGATCAAGACATTGAGAGCTGTAACCTCCAAACATGAAAGTTTGTTTGAAAATGTCTGCAAGTATTTGTGTTATTTAATGATCTTACACTTTGCTTGCTTCAACAAGAAGTTAAAAAGTACTACTAAACAAATAGAATTTAACTCCAGTTTACAGAATTCATCTATAATACCTCTGTTAATACATCTATAATACCTTTAAACTTATCTACTTTCATTCAATAGTCTTCCAATTTGACAAAGTCAATACAGGGCATGTAGTGTATATTACACAATACTCCTTCTAAGCCTAGGACACTGCCCTATAATTGTATACTGGAATACAAAGTATAAATATTAATACTAAGCAGGTAAATGAAGAATATGCATATCTTTATATTAGTTAAAGTGATGTTTCAATGCTTAATTAAGTTCAAGTTAGACAGATTTTACCACCAAAATACATTAAAATAAATTTTAAGATTTCAAAAAAAGAATTTATCTACTTTGTGAATGCAAACATAACTGTGGATTATTTTGATAGATCAAAGCAGAATTTCCTTGAAAGTGTTTCCCGTATTCTGGAGCAATGCCACCAGAAAGCATAAATAGGTTACTTAGGAGCCTCCCACAAAACTGTTAAGCTTTCTTAGTGTTAGCTCTGGGTTCTCCTCCTGGTTCCGCCAGCTACTCTCCAGGACCTGAAATAATTTACAAAGCAAGACTGTTTCTTGGCAGGTCTTTATTCCAGAGTATGTCTTTTTTTTTTTTATTCTGCAAATGTGTGAAAGGAACTTTCTTTTATTTCTGCTAGTAACGGGTAGCCTCAGAACCATCAATAATTTAGTTTTACTCTATCAACATCAATGGAGAAATGAGTGCCTCTAAGGATCCTCTCAGGATAGTCCTGCATTTAGCTCAAATACTGTCTAGAGATCCTTTTTTTCTCAATTACACTAGAATAGGGTAGGATGAAGATTTGAATTGCATGCTAAGATGAAGACTTGAATTGCATAATGAAAAGAATCAGCCAATCCATTATCCACTTTCTTATGAATTCACAGCCCAGTAGGATCTCTGCAGATTTCTGCCTTCTGTAGAAAATGGGTTGCTTCTATAGCTGATTGTTATAGCCAAGACCAACAATTATTTCTTTCTTTTCTTATAAGACTGGGAGTGAGAATATTTGGATTTCTACAACGTTCCGCTACTATATAATCATGAGCAAGGCAATTCTCTCTCATTTTTTTAAATGGTCAAAATAAAGGTGTTATACCATCTCTAAGGTTCTATAAAATCAAAAATGTATTAGAATATGTCTATATCTTTTACAACAATTTTGACTTTCTGAATCTTGCATGGTGGTGTCTAGGATATATGTGTTCAATTCATATTGAATTAATTAAAATTTATATACACTGATGTAAATATTTTCTACATAAAATCTTTCATACGTATTTAAACAAAGTTTACCTTTTTGCCTTCAATAGCTGATTTTCCTATGTGCAATAACGTGTTAGTCAGTGCCCAAAAGAGTCACTTGAAAGTTGCAAGGCAAAGCAGAGTTTTTAAAAAATTATCTAAGATTATCAAACATCTGTCCATAAACACTGTTACAGTAATTCAGCGTCTTAAAATGGATTTTTAAATTATCAGGGATATCTAGAGTGAAGAAATTTAACAGGGAAATTTTGAAAGATGAAATTTTCTATGAAATCAGTGTATTGTGCATCAATCTGGTGCAGTAACTTAGTAAGGACTCAGAGCGCCGCTGTTCACCAACCAGGGAAAAATGGTGCGAGAGATCCCACAGAAACCACCGAGTTTTACAGCACTGAGAAACGACAGATTGCGGTAGGCCCTCTCCCAGGCTGCACTAAACTCAAGCCTCTATCCTGCGGATTCTGAGCTCCCTTTCCGAAGACAGAGGGGGCCACCAGGACACACTCGCACGCATTCAGAAGCACTTCCCGAGACGGGCGTCTAAGCAAAAGGAGCAGGAAGACTATGGCGGCTCAGCCGTGGGGCGGGGACTGCAGAGGATTCGTTCTGCTCTCCATCCTCCTGGGGACCCTGTGGGAAGCCTGGGCAGGACGTATTCTCTACTCAGTGTCGGAGGAGACTGACAAAGGGTCCTTTGTGGGTGACATCGCCAAGGACCTGGGGCTGGAGCCCCGGGAGCTTGCGGAGCGCGGAGTCCGCATCGTCTCCAAAGGTAAGACGCAGCTTTTCGCCCTGAACCCGCGCAGCGGTAGCTTGGTCACTGCGGGCAGGATAGACCGGGAGGAGCTCTGCGCTCAGAGCCCGCGATGTCTGGTGAACTTTAACATCCTGATGGAAGATAAAATGAATCTTTACCCTATAGACGTGGAAATAATAGATATTAATGACAACGTTCCAAGATTCTTGACGGAAGAAATAAATGTAAAAATAATGGAGACTGCAGCTCCTGGGGTTCGATTTCCGTTAAGTGAGGCTGGGGATCCAGATGTGGGCACGAACTCCCTCCAGAGCTACCAGCTCAGCCCCAATCGCCACTTCTCCCTGGCTGTGCAAAGTGGAGACGACGGAACTAAGTACCCGGAACTGGTACTGGAGCAGTTGCTGGACCGAGAGGAAGAGAGGGTTCACCACCTGGTCCTCACAGCCTCTGACGGCGGCGACCCGCCCCTATCCAGCACCGCCCGCATCCAGGTAACAGTGGTGGATGTCAATGACCACGCGCCTGTCTTCTCTCTGCCTCAGTACCAAGTAACTGTCCCCGAGAATGTGCCAGTGGGCACAAGACTGCTCACAATACATGCTATCGACCTGGACGAGGGAGTCAATGGGGAAGTGACATATTCCTTTCGGAAAATAACCCCTAAACTTCTACAGATGTTCCATCTAAACTCACTTACTGGAGAATTATCAACTTTAGAAGGATTAGATTATGAAGAAACTGCCTTCTATGAAATGGAAGTTCAGGCTCAAGATGGTCCTGGTAGTCTGACAAAGGCGAAAGTACTGATCACAGTTTTAGACATGAATGATAATGCTCCAGAAGTGACTGTGATGTCTTTAAGTAGCTCAGTCCCTGAAGACACACCTCTTGGGACAGTAATTGCTCTTTTCTACCTGCAAGACAGAGATTCTGGAAAGAATGGTGAGGTGACCTGCACCATTCCAGAAAATCTACCTTTTAAATTAGAAAATTCAATAGATAATTATTATAGATTGGTCACAACCAAAAACTTGGACCGGGAAACACTTTCTATGTATAATGTCACACTGAAAGCCACAGATGGTGGGACTCCTCCCCTGTCAAGGGAAACTCACATCTCCGTGCAGGTGGCAGACACCAATGACAACCCACCCACCTTCCCTCACTCCTCCTATTCAGTCTACATTCCTGAGAACAACCCCAGAGGGGCCTCCATTTTCTTGGTGACTGCACAGGACCACGACAGTGAGGAGAATGCCCAGGTCACTTATTCCTTGGCTGAAGACACCATCCAGGGGGCACCAGTGTCCTCGTATGTCTCCATAAACTCTGACACTGGAGTCCTGTATGCACTGCAATCCTTTGACTATGAGCAGTTGAGAGAACTACAACTGAGAGTGACCGCACGTGACAGCGGGAACCCACCTCTCTGCAGCAACACGTCACTGAACCTTTTCGTGCTGGACCAGAACGACAATGCGCCCGAGATCCTGTACCCCGC